GAAAAGTCTGGCCAGACTGGGTAATTTGTTTTAGACCTATGGAGAAATCTATTAACCATTTTTTCTATAGACCAATTTGATTAGGAAGTGGGACAAGCTGTTCTTTCATTACTTCCAAAACTGTATTGCACTTTGTATCAATTATTTGGCTGTCTGCAGCACATAGATTAGAATAAAGGGCTTTCTCAGTGTTTGTGAATGTTGTGGATTGCTGATTGGTAATTAAAGTACTGAATGAAGAAAATTAGGCCAAAATAGAATGGGAATGAGAAAGTCTTAATTCTGTGATACAGATGTTGGAAACAGATTGTCTTGAGCAGCCCATTCAACGTAGTGACATTCTACAAGTCATGGAGTATTTGCTTACCATGTAAAACTCAAGTCAAAATGCCTTTGAGATGGTTTCTTCTCCCGTGCCTTGTGATGTAGCTGTATGGGTATTAATTTAGTGAAATATCCTGTCTGCCAGGTGTGGGAACTAGCTGATTTTATTGTAATACCAGATCATTACTTAATTCATATGCAACAGAGTACAGCACATGGAAAGCATTATAAATCTATTTACAATGTGGCTAGTCTGATGATAACATTGTATTAAATTCCCAGGTGAGGCAATTTAAGCAATTGCTTTGCCATGTGCACACCATGGAAATTAAATTCTCATATACGCTTTAGTAATAAACCAACTTCATTGTTATGTTTGCTGGTGGTGGGCTGTAGAATCCTCATTCTGATTAGTATACCCTGTTTCACATGTAGAATCATAGAAGAGGCGGTAACAGATCACAGTTCTTAATTAGTTTAAACTAAGTTAATTTGTTTTGTTTCTCATTTAGCAGTGCCTGTCCAGGAACACATTCAGTTCACAGTTGGGAAATGTTAAGACTTGGGTCAATTAGATAGATAGTTTCAAGCCAAACTTCCAGACAGAACTTAGCAAGTATATCAGTTTGAACTTGGCTTGAAGAAAAATCATCAAATCAGTGTGCAAAAGTCCTATTCGCACCAAGTGAAAACTGAAAATAGCTTTGAATCTGAGATTCCTGCTTTTATAACCAGACTCACTTTTGTCATCAGTTTAAAATAGCCATTGAAACTTTGTGCATCTAACTTCTTAGTTTTTGTAACAATCAGTTGTTAGTCATATTTTCTCTATTTTTCATACATGATCTGTAGATTTTTTTGTCCAATTGTGTATAGTCCACCTAAGTATATAATTTAGCAGGAATTAGTTTTACACAAACACACAACTACAAGTGAGGAATGCTCTTATATTTAACGGGGAGGGGAGGGGGGCACATAATGTCATTTGAAGCTTTTCTACCCTTATGGTACAGACCAGAAATTGCAGTAGATTACAAACTCCATAGAGCTTCTGTCTTCTCCAGAAGCCACATATAAAGCACAGTAGACAGTGGTAACTGACAACTAAGACTAAAAATGTTGACAATTTCTTGATTTGCCTGGTTAGCTTATGTATAGAAGTCATTAACTATTTATAAAATGCATTATGAATTGGGTTCCTTCAAACTGTAGCTGAATGTGTGACATTTCAAGCTCAAATTCTCATGCTTGCATTTGGCTAAAGTAGAGATTTTATACAGTTGATAATAATGTAAAAATATTTTAGTTAGGTTTATCAAGATACAGTAGATGTTTCAGCTTCATTAACTTTGAATCCTCCAATATTAAGTATTATGTAGGTACTTAGTATTGTGGCGTGAGATTTTTCAGAAGTCCTTGAAAGGTAACATAATTTATTGATGTTTTGGAGGAAAATTATCCATAAAATAAGCAGTTTGTCATTCAAAGGTATTTGCCTTTTTTAGTATTCAATTAGTTTAGTGATGATCTTGCAGGCTAAATTATGATTGATTACAATTAGCTTACTTAAAATTTAAAAATCATATAAAATTATGAGAAAGTACTAATGTCAGGCATCTAAATATAATTCTTAGTAAAAAAAAAAAAGTCTTGATTTATTTTTGTTAAATGAAACTCAAATATAAAGAGTTCAGTTTTCAGCATTGTTATGTCATTTTCATGAGGAACTATTTCTGATATTTGAAATGAGTTGTCTTTTCATTCTTTAGGAGAAGTCAGTCCTGTCAGAGAACACTTTGTTAAATTCAGCATATCATTTGCTTAATTATATCCGGAAAGCCATCTAAATGACCAGTGTTTACCATCCCAGTGGTAAAGAATGACATTTATAGGGACCACCCTTCAACTGTGGATAAATCCTTAGTTCTCCTCTGTTTCTGAGCATGTACACTCTTAATTGCTGATTTTCAAAAGCAGTGGATTCTAACCAAAACAAGATTAGATATTTAGGGATACGTGTTTGTAATTTTCTTCTTCTTTTGAAGTATAGTAAATCAAAATAAGAATATAATGTAACTGAACAATCTATGCCAATTTGTTGATATTTTGGTGAAAAAAGGGAAAAACAAAAACAATCTCCATATGATATTCTTGCATACTGTGGGATGTTTTAGTCCCCCATAGTGATGAAATGAATAATTAAAAAGGCAACTCTGATACCACAGCCTGCTTAAAGGTTCTCATTTCCTTTAATGCTGTAAAATACTTTTGCTTAGCTGGCTTGAAACTACCATAGTGGTAACTCCAAATGGGCAAAAGAAAGCTTTGGCTTGATCTAAATATTATATTAAGCTATGAAATGGACTGTGCTTGTAATTTAGCATTTTTAAATACAAGTCTGTATGAAGTCAATAGAAATATCTAATTAATAATGGCTTCAATAAATATAGTAGGAGAAGTGGGCTTAACATATGCTGTTTGTGGTGAAAAAAGTGTGGCATGTTCACAAAAGAACAAGTTGGGTCATTCCTGAATTGTCAAGAGATCTGATATAGATATCTTTACTGAACTCAGGCTAATGACTTCTCTATTTTGTTCTTTTGTGGTATTGTTGGTTTTATTTATCTACTTACAGACTTATTTCAGTTGCCAAGGTATAGGATATACATTTGTGGCAGGAACACAGGGCTTGGGATGGAAACTCGGGGCAGGGGCAGGATGCCACTATCTCCTTTATTCCAAAACATTTTACAATTCTTGAGCCTTTTTTCTGAGTCTATCCAGAAACTGATAGAACAGGGAGGTTTTTATATGGTAGAATGAGCATTGAGCTGTGAGTCAGGACCCCAGGGTTCTAGTTTCAGTTTAACCAAAGCTACCTTTAGAATTCCATGAGACTAATTTTTTTCCATAAAAAATAATGGGGTGCCTAGATTTATTTATTTATTTTAACACTCCATTCAGCCTTTTTCAACCGGATTATTCCAGAGACTTAAGTCTTTAATAATATGTAATGAACTAAATTCTCTCTTATGTAACATCCTTGGGAGAAATGAGAAAATAGTCACTTAAATACTTTTCTGTGATTTGTGGTTCGGATAAGGAACCCCACTTGAAAAAGGCTGTACCTTTAAAGTGATTTAAGGTCTATTGGTTGCTCTCGACTAAGGTCCTTTTAAATTCTAATATAATATAATCTTATGTTTAAGGTATTACGATTTCTTTGTGGTCAAGCAGCATTACTCATTCCCTAATTTAAAAATATCATTAAAAATCTCATTGTTGACTTCTGCTTATGGATTATGGATAGTCTTTTTAAGCTATAATATTTTTCAGATCACAGTTGAACAGGTAAGAAGTTTTAGGGCTGGCCCGGTGGCGCACTGGAGAGTGCGCCGCTTGGGAGCGCGGCGGCACTCCCACCAAGGGTTCAGATCCCATGTGGAGACCGGTTCCCGCTCACTGGCTGAGCGCGGTGCGGGCTCAACACTGAGGGTTGCCATCCCGTTGCCAGTCCCCGGTACAGGCGCGACACCGAGGGTTGCGATCCCGATACCGATCAGTAAAAAAGACAAAAAAAGGAAAAAAAAAAAAGAAGTTTTAAGTTTCAAACTGTAGACCCCAATTTAGGAAGAGATAAGTGTTTCCCTATTGCCATCTTTTAATTGACTGTTTTTGCTTAGTTCAGAAGCAGAAAAGGCAACAAAGTAACTTGTAAATCTGAATTTGGGTCTGAAACAGTGATGCTGAAGTAGGATCTGAGGACCACACTCTTGCTTCAAAACTAAGTTTTTCAGAGCCTTTTAGCTTTTCCAAATGTGTGTACATTTAGATAATTCATGAATTGCTTGCAGACATGTCCCTCGGACTTTACAGGTAAGGGTAGATTTCTTGTAAAACAAAATTTCAGTGTGTGAAATGGTGACTCAGCCCACTTATCTTTATTTACTGGGATCATGAAAAGTTGACTCATAGCCTACTTGCCTTTATTTACTGGGATTGGGAAATTTAATTTATTATACCAGACAGACAGACACACACACCCATTACTTTTCTTTAGGCCATTATTTATAGAGACCTTGGAGAAATTTAAATTATTCTTTGGACAGGGGACAGATTTCTAAATTTTCTCTTTTTCTGATTAGTACCATCATGATAATGAAAGAAATATAGATGTGCTGTTATTGGCATTCCAGAGTTTAGTTGGAGGTATAATTATTATTCCAGAATTAGAGATTTTAAAAGACTTAAATTGTATAGTCCATTTTCTGCCACAATATTTAAAGACCCACACATACCCTTGTTTTAATTACAATCTGGCGAGTTTTACAGATGTACAGCTATCTAGCCATATAAGCCCATATTTCTTTCAGTTTAGTGGTCTTATTTGAATGATGATGTATGGAATAATATACAAGTTCTGATCTGTTTATGAATATCAATAGAATACTTACACAATGCAGAGTTTTCTTTCATTACTGGCATTTTAAAAACTTAATTTACATTAAACTTCTCAAATTTCGGAACTTTACACAACTTTGGTTTGCAGATTTGAGTCGATAGGTTTCCATTAGGGGGCTCTCGAGGTTTGAGATGATCAGCCTTGATACCAATGCTTCGAAGCCTTCACTTTCTAATGTTCATCTCGCTCTCTCCCTTTTTGTTTTGTTTTATAGAAAAGGTCACGGATCGCCTACAGTGACGAAGTACGGAATGAGCTCCTAGGGGATGGTGGGAATTCCTCAGAGAACCAGGTAGAATGCTAATCAGGAAGGCCCGGTGGGTGGCTGGAGGGTGAAGGAGGTCACCAGCACACTGGGCTCTCAAGCTGCTCCTTAACAGTATTAGCAGCAACTCATGTGGAAGCGATACTGTTTAATGCAAAGCTGGAGTCTTAATCAACTTCAAAATGTTTCTCGGAGATCTTACATTTAACCCTTTACCTTGTGATCACTGTCTGCTATCTTTTAAAAAAATCTTTTCTTCTCTTTTCTTTATTATTTAGTACTTAAGGAATAACTTGAAACACACTGTTTGCAGACAAAGCCAAGGTCTTCACCTCAAACACATGTAAAAGGAATAAAAAAGTACATAATACAGCTTTGATAATAATGCAGTATAATTAAATCAACACTTGGAGCAAAACAAATGAAAGTGAGCTTTCAGAATTCAACAGGGCAGCTCTATCTCCTATTGTGTAGCTTCTTAAAAATACATTCACCAAAATGCAAATTGTAAGCACCACTGTGGAACTTGGATACCATATAGAGGACCAGTTTCTGTCAAATAATAGTAATATTAAGAATAATAACAATAATAATAGGATATGCCTTTTTTGCTGTTTAAGATCTGCATAGGCAAAAAATAAGATACAATTTCTTCTTAAAAGGCTTTTTCAACTTGGCTGTCAATTCTCATTGGATCACACAGCAGTTTCATGAGTCTAATTAATGTCCTGCTTCTTTCTTTGAATTAATACTATAGACTTCATTAATTCATGTAGATAATATATACAACTTTAAAAAAAAGTTTAAAGAATCTCAGTGTAGAGATGACTTTAAAAATGTCTCACACAGCCCTAGTGACTGATTTTCTTTAACTCTTTTTAAAGAAAATAAATAATAGAGGACTTCAGAAGCAAGATCTGAATGTGTTTATTGTTACTTTGGAAAGTATTGTAAAGGTCTCTACTCCACCTAAATAAAAATGAACTTAAATCATTCACTGAGTAAACCTAATTAATGAGATAGTAAAACATAATATATTGACACACATTATGAAAATTTCATACTTGTATTTATCAATTCAGATAGATTATATTATAGGTCTACACAGGCTGACACTATGTTACTATTTACTATAATGTTAATTTTGTAAACAGGGTTGTTGCTTATGTGATTGAAGCCCCCACCCACCCACCCAAAAAAGGAAGAATCACTGAGCTGATTATGTTTGTTTTGGGAATGATCTCACCTCTTCCACTATTTGAATGTTATCAGCCTGAGTTCAGACATGTAAACACGTTCAGGTTTGACTTGGGATTTTAGCTTCCCTGATTGAAAAGTGAGAATAGCTACAGGAAAAAAAAAATAGCACATCAAACATAAAGGGGTGATGTGATAAAGAGGTTTTACTCATAATAGATTAAATAATGTGAGGATGAGAGAAAAAAATATTTCCTTCCTTTTTTTAAGTGAGATTTAGATTGCTCATACCTCTTGAATGAATGAGTCATAATTTTATGTCCTATCTACTCCAAAAAAGTATTATCTTTTTTGCAAAAATGTGAATGTGTAGTTCCCATGTCAATTCTCTAAAAAGCTATAGATCTTTCCCTCATTTGAAACTACTGCCTAATGTAGAGGAACACCCCCTTCCTTTCTAACTCAGACTCCTTTATTGTAATGGATGTTGCAGTTCTATGACAGGGATTCTTCTTTTTTTTTTTTCTGCAAGCATGTTCACTTCTCTTTACGAACATTTTATTTTATGTGCCTAAAACATTTGCCTTACATACATATAAGTATATATTTTTTTAATGCCTAAAGAAAAATATTCCACAAAAATGACTGAGTTCATATTTTCTGAATTTTCAAATTATATTCCTGCCACTTTAAAGTTATTATGCAGAGATTTCCTCTGGACTTATATAAATCAAACTTACAAATTCCAAAAGTACTTGGAGAACCTGAAATTTAGTTGTAAGGAGCTGTCACTTCAATAAATAGAGTATGAAAAATTATAGTCATGAGAATATGTAACTGTTAGATTATTACGTATGTGAACTTTTTCAGTCTAAAATTTGAATGAGGTTTGAAAGTTCAAAGAGACCACACTTAACTTTTTGGATATTTTGTTACCAAGTGGAGCAAAATTTCCATATCTTGATGAAGTTATTATATTTTGTTTTGCGGCTCTTTGTCATAATATAGGAATTAAAATTCCTTAAACCAAAACACATCCTTAATTAGGTATCGTCATTTGAGAATAACTTTATTCTGCATTAGTATTCATTTAGACTTTGGAATCAAAGCAGAAGCTCTTTAAAGAAAGAAAAGATTTAAGTTGACTCTTCATATTAATTTTTGTAGCTCAGTAGCTGAGAAGACAGTTTTTTCTGGTAGGATTACCTATGATTTATGAAATGTTTCCTATCCACAAATAAGTTTTTTTTTCAAGTTAATTGTTGAAAAATTGATTATCAGAACTTCTTGGCCATGTAATATTTATGATAAACTTTTAATATACAAGTAACACTTGGAGATAAACACAGTGAGGCATAAATAGCAATATTTGTTTAATTGAAATTGGGATGTATCTGTCAATTAACAAATATATAGGTCAGAAAAAAAAGTAAGGAATAAATAGAAATGATTACAAATAGGTAAAATAAAGTACTTACTAATTATTTTCAATGCCATATTTACATACTCCCTATAGTCACTTCCTTGTAAAGATTTAAACAAACATGAATCCAATAACTACTGTGTGTCATTCTCACAATTTATAATACGGGGACAGTTTTTTTAAGGCATCTAAAACCTGACTGTCAATACATATAAAATCTGCCAATTAACTACAGCTAATCTGCCAATTAACTATAGAGTACATTAATTTACTCTTAGATATATAAACATTTCTGCCATAAATAGGAATGTCAAAATTTCAGAAATTAAGGATTTTTCAGATGCACCTTTAATGTCTTTCATACAATACACATTTCATTTAATTCCCAGTTAATTGCTTTGTGTAAATTCATTTCTGATTCATATCCTTTTCATTCAATCAAATATAACTAACTCATCATTGATTTACAAAGAAGGGACAAAATTACCTACTTTGCACATTACATTTGAGTGTTGTTGGGTAATGATGGTGGACTACTGTCTCAAGCATTATCATTCTATTCTTTTAAAAATCATATTTGCCATTTCAAATGGCAACATTTTATTTGTTTGAGAGTTGAGTTCTTGAATGTAGTGATGCTGTAGAGTAGAAACTTTAATAGTTCTTACCTTCTTAACTTGATTTTGTTTCATGAGACCCATTTTCAAAAAAGGGAAAGAAAAAAATTTAAAGAATAAAATCATAAAGCCATTCATAATACAGTATGATAGTGGGGCAAATAAAATGTTCCAAGCTCTAGTTTTGGACACTAAGTCTCTCAGTTTCCTTATGCAAAATTATATTGATCAGTGACTCTGAGTAAACCCTAAATAGAAGGTTCAAAAATATATATGAAGAGTAGGATATTTACAAACGTGTGGAAATTTTTGTGGTAAAGCAATATTTAGCAGATAATGATTACTTAATTTTTTAATACGAGGTTCTCTTAAGTTCCGATTTGGGCTTGCTGTGCATAAAGTGTGTCAAACTTCAGCTACCGACCAGGGGGTGAAGTCGGTCAATTTAATTCCCCAAGATCTAAAGAAGGTCGGTATCATTTCATATAGCCCTGGCAGAGCAGATCATTACCAGGCACAAATCTGCTCGTTACGTGCTGAGGGTTTATAGCTAAATAAATAGACTGTCATCATAAGTTCAGAAAATTGTGTGTTCGACCCACGATAATGTGTAAAGGGCGTTTAATAGAGTTCAGCATTTATTCGTTATCTGTGTGCGGACAGAGACGGCAGTGGCGTTATCAGCTGTAAGAAAAAAATGCGGTAGTCCTGGGGTCACGTGATGCTCGCACAGGCGCCCACGAGCCGCACATGCTCTGCAGTGCAGTTTTGATTTTAGTCACAGCAGAAGGCTTAACCACAAGAGATTCCACTGGTTCAAACCAGCGTAAACCAGATTTCTTCAGCCCACAAAGGAACAGATTACCTCCTGTATCAAATTCTGCATTGGGAGGGGGGAAAAAAAAACTCTTTGTTTCAAAAAAGATGTTGATTATCATAACTCGACATGGTGGCACTGCACACTTTCATGTCGTCTATGAAGGAGCTAGGAACTCGAGAAAGTACGAAATCACTACTTACAGTGTCGTCTAAGCATTGATAATTTTCAAAAATAGACCATCTTTTGTTTACTTGAATGAATAACTCTCGGCCTAACTTAGGGGGGGAAAAAAAGATAAAGATTAAAAAACCTCCCATTACCTAGCTTAGCTACAAATCCGGTGTGGCGCTTGAATGCAGCCATGCAGCACAAACCAGATAGAACGTTTTTTGTTTGGAACCTATTGAAAAAACAAATGGGTAGCATTTTTAAACACTCATTGATTATGGCAGGGTAGCATGCCCCAAATGGTCTCTATTGCTGAGGAGTAGTTTTAAACTTTGGCCCTGTAAGTATCATAGTCAACTGAAGAATGGTGCCCCCAGAAAGAAAAGATAGCTGTGAGATCAATTCTCAGATCGTCTCTTTCTGAGAATTAACGTTCGTCTTTTTCTCCCATGATGTTCCAATAGCAAAGAGAAAGATTCCAGTATATGATAGGCCAGGTATTTCACTTTACAATTTTACTTCTTCTGGGAAAGAGTTGTAACTTTTCATGTGAAATAATGAGATGCTTTAGTCGTATGCACTGAATGGTTGCTGAGAGAATGAGTATATTAATTACAAATAATGACAATTTCTTGCCAATTTTGAAAGGACAATATTAAAGGTTTCATTTTCACTATACTGTGAGATGTAAAATAAATTTTGTACCCTTTTTACAAAGGATTCTTAATTTGAAATCTCATTCTTTTGTACTTGAAATACAAATGAAATAACAGAAAAAGCTGGAGTGCATATTGCCTTCCTT